TTTTTTTTTTTTTTTTTTTCAGGTCTGATTTTCGCTATTGCATAAATAGCGCTATCTACTGCGAAGGATCGTGCATCATACGTATTTAATACCGCAGTTCAAAATATATGAACTTCAAATATTCATTGTAGCTACTCTTTTAATAACTGATAAGGCCTGACAAAATATAGAGATTTTGCATGCTTGGAGTATGATATTAATGGAAATATGGCCTAACAAACATAGATAAGAGAAAATTCAAGCATCTCTAAAAAATATTGTCATATCTAGGTGAGAACATCATCATTTGTGCTCTATGATGGGTACAAGGTTTTCATTTATTACTTTACTATATTTTGCTAACCGCTAGGTGTTTGTAGTGCCAATCAGAGACCTTCTTAGTGCATTTGTAAGCTACGAGTCGAGATGTTTCTAGATAATGGCACTGGATTGGCTTTGATGTTTCATTTTCATTCACCTAATACAAAATTAAGGCCTTATGTCAAGAATTTGGTCTGTCAATAGCATGAATTATGATCAAAACTCCATTTTGCTTGGTCTTGGAGGGGCATGGAGAGTTTGTGCCAAAAACCTAACAAATCTTAATAAGCCAAATTTTTCTCAACTGATTTTGATAAATGGGTCACTAAAGTACATACTAGATTTAGTATGAAAGTCATGCAAGAAGGCAGGTTAGTCTAATGGTTTTTTGAAAAATGGCAATTTTGGGTAATGATTTTGACCTCAAATTTGACCTAACTTTAACCTCAGGCTCCTCTCTGTCTAACCACTTGCGAACAAATTTATAGTTATGAAGTAAAAGGTCCACCACTACAGTAGAGTTCATGGTCAAATTCGTTTAGCAGCACAATTTACCAGTGGAATTTTATAGTACTTTCAAAATGCCAACTAGAAGGATGATTTTTTGGTGCTCCATAGGCCACAAATGGAAGCCCCCCCTGAAACTCCAGAACAAACAGTCAGAGAAGTGAGCCAGTGTCTTTTGAAATGTCTCATCAGCCGATCGGTTGACCACCACTTCTGGCCCCTAGAACACTTTCTCAGACAGGGACACTTAAGCCTTTATTTGGTAGACTACTATTCCTTTTCAGTTACTTGTTTGGTTTTGGCTAATTCATATATCTTATTAACTAAGCGCGAGGGCCGCACTGGGAGAATAATGGCCCGAGGTCTTGACAGTACTGACCGAGCGCAGCGAGGTCCGTACAAAAAAGACAGAGGGCCGATATTCTTCCAGTACGGCCCCGAGCAAGCTTGGTTAATAAGAGATTTATTATACGACTGAAGTTCAAAGGGACGCAAGTGCGGTATCATTCGGGACAGTGCCCGGTCCAATACTGAGAGAATATTGGACCGGCAATAGAGCATTTTGATTGGTTGACTTTAGTTATTTGCCCTCTGACTGCCCGTGTCGTGTAATAAATCACAATATTGATATACGTGAAAAATTACACTCTTGATTGGCTGAAAACAGCTAAGTGCCTTTTTCATATATCACCAATGCAAAAAAATAACAACTCAAGTTCAAAAGTAAACTATTGGTAGGCTCGGCAATCACACTAGAAACCAATCAGATTTACATGAAGTAGGTTGTGCTGATTGATACACGTACTAGCTGACCAAAATAAACCAAAGCTTGGATATTTTTATCTATATTGATAAACATTAACAAAACTGTATTCCTGAAGGACAAATTTTGAGAGCATGTCAAGTTGACCATTTACATGATGAAGTCAAGTTCACTTATTCGTTTCATCTTTCCACATAGCTTGAATTAGGGAGACATACTGGCATGAAATAGCAATATAAATAATAAAAAGAAAACTTAAAAGATTCTGGTACTTTAAATCATATGATACCATCATGTGCTTGCCTGTACATTGAACTCTTTTTTGTTTCAGTTATGTCTCTGAGTACTGTCCTGAAATCTATTATGGTGACAATCTATCTCTAGTGAACTTTCTGTTAAATAAAACCTCCAGGTCAAATTGTAAATCTTACTGGGTTAAAATTATTAGCAATGTTAATGTAATGAAACTTCACAGTACTACTCAACATATGATTCATTAAAATATTGCTTGTGTTCTGATCTTGTCATGCACCTATCTTTTTTCCCTAAATTCTTCCATTTGCAACCCCATATCCACCTACCTGAAGTAAATTTTTCTGTATCAGTTTATAGAAAACACAGTCCCACAAAACCCAAAACCTCAACCAACTGAAAATAGAACTTTGTGCCCTAATGGACAGCAGAAACCTATGCTCACTGTGTTTACATGTACCGTATTTTATCGGCTATAAGCCGAGCGATTTTTACACGTTTAGCCTAACTTAAATTAAAATCTGACTTGTAGAGGGGGTTTCGGCTTATAGCCGAGAGTTTAACCTGAACAAAAATTATGGACTTAATAAAAATAAGATAAATACGCATATATTCGCATACAAGCCGAGCAAAACACATGGACAAAAAAGCAAGAGTTCTTGGTCATTAACTTTAAATATGTGGTGGCTCCTAAAGGAACCGTTTGTTTTCTGTCGTGAGCTGCACGTTCGAGGATGTCAGCTTATGGTTCATCTTCGCTTTCCGTATCAAATTCTTCCTCCATCTCATCATCTTCAGCGTCATTGTCTTGCTCCTCTTCATAGATGGCGTCATCCTAGGTGCCGTCAAGCGCATTGGAGATGCCGCAAGTAAGAAACTATTTCCTCACCATCTCCTCCGGGATTTCCCTCCAAGACTGCTTTATCCAACGTAGAACGAGGTTTCTTGACGGCGCTTTCTTTTCTCAGCAGGAGTAAACTCGAAGGGGCAAGTTACCATCCACGACAGGTACTTTCTTCTCATTGAAGGGCTTATGTAGACACTTGTCTAAGGGTTGGAGAATGTTGATTGGCTATCTCATCTGGTCGTCAGAATAAACTATCTTATGTAACGAGAGACCACGAGGTGAAATAAACATGGCAGTTGTGTTGTAGAATTCTTGTGCGCTTTGCTTGCCGCTTAGTACTCTTGCCTTTAATCAACACTACAAATCAACAGAGAAGAGTTAGGCCACCGGGAATAACAGCTACATCGATACTTCGCCGCTGCAATGCTTCTTTCACTGACTCAGTAAGATTTGCCGGCGAAAGGAGTCCCAAACCAACAGCGATCGCTCACCAGTGGGGTTTCTTAGCATGCAGGTACGAATCTACTCCTTCACGCCTATAACGAAAGAAAGAATAAAACAATCGATTAGACCTCACTTTAATTAAAGACTTCAATAAAGCATGCGGCTTTAAACACGAGTAAAGAGCACAGAAAAAAGAGCGCATATGAACAACACAAAACTGTTCATTTACCAGCTTCATCCATCCATCTTTTTTTGTGGAATGAAACACGAACTGAGTCCGGAACAACCAGGTCTCTCGGGGTTCGTACGCCTTTGAAGATAACTTTAGGTGGCACCTTTTCGCCATCAGCAGCGACCGCCAACGTGACTGTGAAGGTTCTCTTCTCTGCGCCACAGGATTTCATGGGAGCTGTTCGGCTGCCACTGAATTCCAGAATACGGCTGGACGGCATCTCGAACCGCATTGATGTCTCATCCATATTGAAAATTCTGGACAAAGGGTATCCACGGCGCTGACGAGCGGCGATCACGAACCGGTGGAATTTTACTGTTTGCTCTTCGAGATCGTTTGGCAGACGCTGGGCGAGGGTGGTCTTTCGTTCGGAGAGTGAAGGAATGGGATGGCTTCCAGTTTATGTACCAGCCTACAGATGCTTTGAGTGCGGGATCATAGTAGAATTCTTTCGCCTTCAAACGCAACATTAGTCCACCGACAGCAATTCCTAAAACGAAGGAAAGATAGTACAGATAAGCAATGATACTAATGTTTTGACAACTATCAAAAACTGACCAATGAGAATGTTCTGTTCCCACGGATGTGTAAACAAACTTTTCACATGATACTCACCTTGACTTCTCTGCTCAGAAAACCATTCCAGCAGTCTTTGATCCACCTCGGGATACTTTGGTGTAAAACAGCCCATCGTTTTACGTTTTGCGGACTTTTTTATTTCGCCGTCGAAGAGGTTTTCTTGGTCTTTTCTCCAGCGACGAACCATTGACTCACTGATGCCGTATTCCCTCGCGATCTCAGAGTTGTTCTCGACGGCTTCTGTTTCGGCGACTATTTTAAGTTTGAACGCTAGATTGTATGATGTACGACGGACTTTTGGCATGATAACGGATTGACAATGAACGACTATCGACACAGGATTGTTAAAGACAGGTCTCTGAACTCGGAATGTTCATCAAGCCGTGAACTCAAATTTATTCATTTGATCGGATCACATCAAATTCAGCTTACTAACTGTGATTTGTATTGAGTAGGTAACAATAATGATACAGTTTTTTCCCGAGAGGTAAGCCTAGCTCCTTAAATATTCATGACACCTTGCTTTTCAAGCGAATTGCCCGTGCCGTTGGATAATTAACCCGTTCTTTCATTTCATTTTAACAGATTTTAAAAGCTACATGTGATTAAAATTTTTCATGAGCTCTTATACGTTTTAAGAACTGGGTCTCGGCTTATAACTGAATGTTATGTGTTTATGTTTGAAGTATTAAGTTTATGAGTTAAAAATTTAGGGTCTCGGCTTATAGCCAGGCTCGGCTTATAGCCAGGCTCGGCTTATAGCCGATAAAATACGGTATGTATTGTCCAGAATTATTCACACATTCAAACCAAATCGAACTCTCAATGGCTTCTAGTGTAGAATATATCATTTCCCGAATGTCCCGGCACTTCTGATCAGTCCTCGTGTATTGGTACAAAAAATGCCAAAAATGTTCATATGAAATGCTTCCCTAGAGTTAATTCCGTATCATTTGCCATGGAAAAGACAATCAACCTACAAACTTCAGAACTCAATTCCCCTTCGTTACGTAAAAAAAATCATGACTGAATCTATAAGGCCACTATGGGAAATAATACTGACGTCTTTTTAAGTTCCTAAAATCCTCAGGATGCACTGTGCAACCTTCGTTGTCAAAATGAGACCTCCATAACAAAGCTTGGCCATTAAACCTCATCTTGAAAATGAACATTTCAGGACTATTGTATGCTAGTTATCTTGTTTTATCGATGAACAGGAACAATATTGAAAGCGATCTAACCATAAACAGATATTAGCTCTCCTTATAGAAACTCAATAAGACACCAGACACCAAAAAGCAGCTCAATTTCGCAAGGCACACATGTACGCATTGCGGACCTATTTTCTATTTTATGGCATCTATGGATCGTACGTTACAATCTTTTTGGTGAAAAGATTGTTGTCTTTTGAATATTGATTATAATTGTCACCATTATTATTGTCATTGTTATTGTTATTATTATTATATCCTTTTGTATTGGTAGTTTTCACTGTCACACTATCGAAATCTAAATAAAAACTGTTGAATGCCCGACGCCAGGAGAGTGAACTATCATAGAATATTGATAACTAAACAATTTTCCCAAGTTTCAGGTCTGTAGGGTTTTACACTGATGACTTATCAGCCAAAATTTCTGACATGAATTCATAGAGCTCAGCATGGGATGCCATGTTGGTGGAACGTGGTGCCCATTCAAGGGACATCAACGAGGCGGGTATGAATCTTGTCCTGTCCTTGTTTATAATTTCACTCGACTGTATACTTTCCTTCCATTAACGAGCCTCTAAACAATGGGATGGTATATATCTTTTTCCAGGTTGAGCTAAAAGGCACACTGCATAAAGTAAAAGTAAGCAATGCCGATGTCATACTTGTCGTGAACTGCAGCTTTTAATTTTTTATAGCAACCGTTATCCCCACCAGCCACCGCAGCGGAACTTTTTGCACCGAAAGAACTCTACCAGCATACCTCCTCCCCCCCCCGGAGAGAATTTGCCTTTTCTTCGGTCTTTCCGATCATTTAAACTTGCCGCTCGCATGCTAACCGGAAATTTCGAAAGTGTATTTTGAACCGGTTGCCACTATTGTTCAAAATGACCATATTAGGTCATTTTTTTATCTAAGAACAAAGCCTTTTGTTATCAAAGTTGATCCGCTTTTCTTAATACGAACTAACATAAGCATCCGTTGTTTTGTTTTACCACTAGAGTGATTAGTTATCCCCTGCGAACTTGCGAACATTCATCATAACATATTTTCTAATGCTCAGGGAAAAAATGTCTCAAAATAAAATCATATTTTACATACATCATGTACCAGCTTTCCAGGCCTATTTCAATGTCGAACGACGAAATCTTACTAAATTAGAAATGACTCTGTTTTCAAAGTGTAGAACGTCGCGAGGCTAAGACCTTTTCACAAGGTTGATGTTCAGTAGGTCTTTCGTTTTCGAGGTAAAAACTGAGAAAAACCATAGTTAGTAGAGGGGACTGGTTATGAAACCCGGTAAACATCAAAGGCCATTGTCTTTGTTATGGTTTTCTTTTAGTCACGTGATCTTGACCGTGCACATGGAAAATCAAGATGGAGATCGGAGTGACGTAAATGTGCAGAGACTTACGCTGTATTTCGCCAGATTTTTAGCTTAGNTTTTTTTGTTTGCGTTGCATATTTTATTTGCTGCAGTATTTTTTGTTTGCGTTGCATTTTTTATTTGCTGCGGTACTTTTTTTCTTTGCGTTTTGATTTTTTTATTTGCTGCAGTATATTTTTTAGTTGCTGCAGTATATTTTTTATTTGCTGCAGTATATTTTTTATTTGCTGCAGTATATTTTTTATTTGCTGCAGTATATTTTTTATTTGCTGCAGTATACTTTTTGTTTGCGTTGAGCCTTCTGGGCCACCGTACGAAAGGGATCGGTATTTGGAAGCTGCCTGCAGCGAAGGAAGAGGCACACAAGAAGTGGCGGGACGATTGGTTGAGTGAAATCACAAAGACGCGTGAGATCGACCATGAATTTCGAAAAAGGATCGAAAACGACAAGGTGTTTACCTGTGAAAAACACTTCGACGTAGAAGATTTCGAAGTATGTAAGTACGGCTGCGATATAAGCTTACAGTAGAAATTGAAGACGTGCTCTCGCTTTCCATAAGGTTTTGTTTATTTACGATCTCTTTGGAATTTTCTTGAAGGTTAATTTTCATCTTTCTTAGTTGTGGTTTACGTTATTTTCAAATGCAGTTCAAACGGCAAAAATGACGAAGAAGAAACCACGATTCGGCGCCATCCCAACCTTAAACATGCCAAGGAAAAGTCACGAGTCTGCAAGGCCTACACAAAGACCTGCTAGATCGGTTGTCAAGGAGCACGATCAACAACCCAAGGCATGTTACAAGTCGTTTGGTGAATTGTGCCAGCGAATCACTGGCTTGAAAACTCTGAAAGGGTGGAAATTGAAAACTATGTCAGACAGACTCATCCTGAAAAAGATTGTAGAACCTTTCCTTCTCCCAGAAGTAGAAATAATGATGGATGACAGTCTTACATACACTGTGAAAGCTTTTGGTTGTTTCCTTCCTGAAGATCATCCCCTCTATGTTACTCACCGGCGTTCAGTCTGAAAGAGAGCTAGAGTGCTATAAACTTTGCTGTGGTGTGGAAGTCAGTGAATTAACAAGCCAGCTGTTTCATCATGTAACTCCCATAAATGAAGACCCACTTCAGGCATGTAAGCAGGGTGAGCAGTTTCCCAACAAAGGTTTCTGGAGGTCAAATGACTGCCAGCTCATGTGCAAAAAAGAAGTCGTGGAAGGTGCATGCCCACAATGTTTGGAGTACCTGGTTTTCTAAAGAAAGACCATAAAAGCAGAGGAAAGGCGGCTGTCCAAACCTACAAATGTCAAGGCACCAGTATCAAAAACTGATCCGGAAAGAATTAAACTGACATTACAAGAACAAAGACTGAAATGTGCTGAACTTGAGCAAGAGCTAAATAAAATGCGAGCAGCAATTGTCAAAACAAACATTGAAGTGGACCATGAACTTAGCAACGACTTCGCTAAAATCTTTGATGAGGCTGATGACAAAATCACTCCTTTTATGAGCCTTTTCTGGCAGCAACAGAAGAAACTGTTCCCCAGCAGTCGTACTGGGGTACGATACCATCCGATGATCATCAGGTTTTGTCTTTCACTTGCTGCTAAGTCACGTTCATGCTACGAAGAGCTTAGAAATAGTAGTGTTGGTACTCCGAAGTCAGCGACGCCTGAAAGATTATCGAAATGCCATTCGGCCACAACGTGGATTCCAAGAGGAAATTGTTCAGGAGTTGAACTCCTTAACTGACACATACTTTAATGTTCAAAGATATGTGGTTCTTTTGTTTGACGAGATTAAAGTCATGTCAAACCTTGTTTGGGACAAGGTAACAGGAGAACTGGTTGGTTTTACTGATCTTGGAAACTTGGAACTGAACGATGCTGTTTTGGAAAAAGTCAATGAAATTGCAACACATGCCCTTGCCTTTCTGGTTCGTGGAGTTTGTACTGACCTCAAGTTCTGCCTTGCACATTTTGCCACCACTGGTGTTACTTCTTTGCGACTAATGCCCTTGTTTTGGGAAGCGGTTTGTATTTTAGAAACTAGTTGCAATCTGTGGGTCGCTGCTGCCACATCTGATGGTGCTTCACCAAATAGGAGGTTTTACCGCCTTTACAAACCCCTTGATGGAGATGCTGGCACTGGTGTGTGTTATCGTGCAGTCATCTTTTCACCGCATCGCTTTGTCTACTTCTTCTCTGATGCCCCGCACCTAGTCAAAACAACACGGAACTGTCTCGTGCACTCTGGATCTGGAAATGCACGCGATATATGTGGAATAATAGGCAGCATTTATTGTGGCAGCACATCACAGAGATTTTCTATCAGGATGTAGACAATGGCTTGAAGCTGTTGCCTAGGCTGTCATATGAGCATGTAAACCTGACCCCTTATTCTGTCATGCGGGTAAATCTTGCTGCACAAGTCCTGACTGCATCAGTACTAGTCGCTGCAGTTCTGAAGACGTTTGGACCTCCAAGCACAGCAGCAACTGCAAAACTCTGCGAAATGATCGATGGCTTCTTTGATTGTCTCAATGTGAGAAGCATGACAGAGCATCAGAGAAAGCGCAAACCATTCTTGGCTCCTTATACTTCTGTTAATGAAGAAAGGTGTGTTGTTGATTTTTTTAAAATTTTGTTTAATTTATAAAGCATTATTTAGCAAAATACAATGTTAACCCTGGGTATAAAATCATCCATT